CAAATTACTTTTCATCAACTAAGTTTGGGCATTTGTGTGTGTCTCCCCCACTTCATATGAGTTGGACAGTTTATTCTCAGCTCTAGCCCCCAGTGGCTAGGTTAGTGTCCGTGGGCTCAGTGGTTCCCAAGTCTCCCCAAACTTCAGACCAACCAGCCTTTCCTCTTCTCTTTCTCATGAACTGAACATTTTCTACATGCCTCCAGTGAAGCTTCCTAAAGTGAAGAGGCTAACATAATTAGCTCAAATGCTGTCCACCATGCTGAAGATGGTTCCTGGGCATTGTGTGTGTGTGGTGGGGGAGGGAGAAGGTAATCACTGTGAACAGTTATACTTTACTTTCTTCTCTTCTCCAGGCCTCCGTAGGACTGACACCGCGGATATGTGAGGTAGAGACTCTCTTTTGACTGGATCCTCTCAAAGTAGGTCTCCTTTTACATTCCTTTCAATGAAACCCAACCCTCTGGTTTGTACAGGGTCTCTTCATTAAGGAGGAAGACTGTTCTTCACTGCCTTCCTCCTGTAAGATAAAAATAAGGTAAGAACCTATCAAGATCTTGGACCTAGAATGTTTCTGTTTCTACTGGCATGCTCAGCTGTTTGCTCTTTGTTTCCAGAGTTACCCAGAGGGATGGTGAAAAGCCACAGCAGAAAATATTTCAGTACAGGGAGATTGAGAAGCATACTTCTTAGGTCCTTCTTCTTGTTGTTAACTGCTGTTGAGTTGGTTCCGACTCTTAGCGACCCTGTATAGGGTTTCCGAGGAGCAGCTGGTGAGCTTGAACTGCTGACTTTGCAGTTCAAACCAACTTTGCAGCCCATCACATTAACCCACAGTGCCATACCAGGACTCCTCCTTAGGTCCTAGGGGTGTAGAAAACCTAAATCTCTGTCTTTAGGCTTAATAAATACTCCTGGTGTGGTGCTATAGGATCCACAGTGGGCTGTGAACCACAAGGTTAGCAGTTCAAACCCAATGGCTGCTTCTTGGAAACCCTATGCTGGGTCAGAACCAACTTGACGACAGTTAACAAGAACAAGGCTTAATAAGCAGGTGTTTCCTTTTGTAAACCAGCTTATTCTGGCTGTTTGGTATCTCTTGTTCTTCATTTTTTTTGTACAGTTTTTTTTTTTTAAATGATTATCTGTCCTCTAACTGATTACTCTCTGGGGCAGTTAGTTACTAGATTTTAATTCCCAGACTTATTGTTGGCTATTCCAAAATAAAGTTTTAACCAGTTTGTAATAAAAATATTGGTATAAGATTAGGTTACCAACTGCACTTTATTCAAGAGCATAGCCATCCT